AAGTTGCTAAACCAAGGTCAAAAAACGTGTATACAACGAAAGGAGACTGCGTCCATACAAAAGGCCACACCATCCTGGTCTTCATACCTTCGAGTATTGTATAGGCTTATAAAAAGATTAAGCTCTAGTCCTATATTATTAATTCTAATTTTGCTAAATTATGTGATCTGCACAATATGTCATATATGCAGCTTTGATGTGCGTAAAATGCCAGGCTTCTTCCAGAAACATACCTTTCTTATTTATTATTATTATTCCATCTGGAAAAGGCTCGTCTGGCTTGATTAATTCAATCATCGTTATGCCGAGTAGATTTAAAAACTAGTCTTCAGAATTAAGAAAATGCAGCAAGAATCATATTTTTTGGCGCTACGATCATTAATATGCTATTTCTTAGGATGAAAGCCCATTCTTCATTATACATGATTTTGCACACTTGCTTTATTCACTTTATTCTCAGCTTGATTAGGTTTTATGAGTGGATCAAAACAAATAGGGGCCATGATCCTGTGAACCATGAAGATGTGATCCATTAACATGCGAATGATAAACGTTTTTGTGGCATTTTGATATCAAAATGCCTTTCAACAATTCTTCCTATATACTCTCATATAGTTTTAATTCACGCCAAGAAATTTATTCTAGTTCTTGACTAAGCTCTGTTCTTATTGAAGAAAGTATTTATTCTTTTAACAATTTTTCCTTATTTTTTCACCTCCAATGGATTGACAACTTTATACTAATTACAATTATTATGCATCGGGATATGCTTATTCTTTATCATTTACTGGCTGCCAACCTAGGTAGCATACGTAGTAAGTATGCTTCGAAAATACTGGTAGATCATGTTATGATTTAAAATACAATTTTGTCTTGATATTTACATCATACTTTAATGTTTGATTTCTTATTACCGTTTCTCGAGCATCTCAACAAATGGTCAACTATAAAGCCATTTCGCCTAGTTGCATTCATTGTTACATCGTTTTCCAGTATGGTAACTAGAACTTTCTATCATGACTACGTTTTAATCTAGTGCATGTAAAACAATTTATTAACCCATATGCATCTCCCTTTTCTGTAGGTCTCCACTGATGCAGATCGAGTCTTTGAAATCCGGTCTACCGCAGTGCCTATCAGCAATCCATCAACTAGACGTCGACTGATTTCCAACACTTCGTTAGTAAGCGAGACGGCTGGCAGCACGACCGGTCTTATAGCCGGGCCAACGCGAATCAACCTACCGCCGCCGATCCCATACCAATCTGACCTGCTTTCGGCACCTTCTGAGGACATGTTTTCCGAGACAGCATCAATTTCTTCCGCTCTTGGCAATTGTCAAACCGAAGAACTTGGCGGCAAATATGGCAGGCTACTCGAGCAGACGAGGATGTATAAAAATAAGTTTTCTCGGGTAATACTTGATTTTCTTAGATAACCTTATTTTTATTTGATGTAATATCTATCATTTAAAATTTTTCTTTAACTATTTAGAGAATTCCTGAACGCATTCATAAGACCCGGTTTGCTTTTTTGTGTTAAAAAGAATTGTCCGATGCCTTAAACTAGTTCAATACCGGTCACTTTACTTCCTTGTTTCGGCTTACTCGACATAGTTGGTGTTGTAAGCAAATGACTGTTATTCACCATTCTTTTACTTCTAATCAATCTCTATGCCAATGGGTTCCAATCAATGACAGTCCTTTTCGATTTGCTCTAAGTATTCATGTAACCGACATTTCCTGCTCTCTAATAACCTATTTCCCAGTTAGATTAGGTGCTTGGCTGAGCATCATTTAAATGGAAGCTAGGACCAATAGGGTAGCCGAGATGTCCCGCTAATATTGGTGAAAGTTATTAAAATGACTCTGCTGCTTAAGCTTTCATAGCATTTGCTGCAAGGTTCTGGTTCGGAATTTTGGGGCTGAGGAACTCTTTTGCTTGCAAGCAAGAAAACCTTGCTTCTATTTGCAGTGAAAATTATTTCTGCTTATACTTATCTACCACCACTATTTCTGTATGATAGATAGATTTATTGCATTTAGTGCTTTGGAAAATTTGCCTCCGTATAATTTCAATTCGTTAAAAATTTGCAGAACATAAGCGGTTTCGTACAATAACTAGGAACCTAGTCTTAAAGTCAGAATATAAAAACTGGAGTTATGGGAAACTTGTAAGGTCTGACTTTTGCCACATACTTTCATGCAACTCCAATACTTTGATTATGACTTCATTCCCATTACATACCACTAAATTAAGGGACCCTAATTTGCCATCTACTTTTTCATTAGCTTTTTTCCAAAAAAAACACTTAATAATCTAGCATCGTACATCAAGAGACTATCTGCTTTAGTTGCCATAATAAATTTGTATTTGAAAATACCTAATATGTGAGCCTCTCAAAGAAAAAGTATGCCTTACTCTATCAGTGATTTCCATTGTATCTGCTATCTCGCAAGGCTTAGGTCGCATCCAATATACATGAATCATTCGGGCTACAAGAGGCAATGGAATTTTATGGT